ACATGTATAACACTAACATAGTAATAAAAATCTTTTATTTGCTTTAGTGTTTATAACATTCGTCTAAAAATATCATTTACAGAGCAATCTCTTGGTTAAATCTTTTGATATCAACCATTGAAGTAGGATAACCATGATTTAAAAGTGGTATTGGCGAAAAATGTAATAAGAAAATATACTATTCCGCAGGACATATTCCGGACGAGTTTATTAACAAGCGAGAATGACAAGTATTTTGTAAAATAAAACAGCGATAATCTTGCCTTCAACGCTTAATACGAAAAAATCTTTTTACCTTTTTATGATAAGCCAAAGTGGTCCCAATAACATTTATTGGAACACCACGTTCATAAAAGTTGCGCTACTTCTTCAAGGACATGTAAATACCAGAATGACGATGACCACTAACATTATCCCTACAGTTAGTTTGCTCTTTACCATGTAAAAATAATTAAAGTTAAAAATAACTTATGAATATGCACTGGTTTATTTTTACATTACCATACCAGACTCACGATTGCTGGTTATCAAACCCGATATCACATTAATACATACGAGTTACAGAACCACGGATACACCAATCAACTTTATACCAATCTTATTACACCACTAATGTTAGTGGTGACCACTAAACTTAGGTTTATACATACAAGATACTAACAAAAGCGTAATCTATATTTGACATAGAAACTGACATTATAAAGTATCTAAACTAATTCTATTACCATCATCCAGAGATAATTTATTCCATTCTAATACGTGATTTGAGCAGACGAGGGATGCGAAAAACGATCATTTATTATGTATTACGAAGTGAAAAATTGCTAGGATCAAATTATACACGAAAACCACGAATTCACAGAAACAGCCATCATATTTTGTAAAACTACTATCGAACAATAGTTAATCAATGATAAGTGAATTAGAGATTTACGTACAAAATCATCACTAGCACTACTTACACTCAACAAGCTGCTGGATAGTATAGTCTACAGGCAGATAAGTAAATAATATGTCATTCATATGTCAAGCGCATTACACTCGCTTAAAACAGTGTGTATCGTTAAGCCTACTATGATTGTGGGTACAAAACAACGTTGTAGTACAATTGTAAAGCAATAGTACTTGTTACTTTCATTGTCTTCACATTTTGAAATGCTCAAAAATCACCAGAGGCGTTTGTTCTTCACTTTTAAAGATGCGCGCTTAAATTGTAATAGATTTATTACCATCATAAATTAATTATTACTTATACATTGGCTTTTGTGTTAATTCTTTCATACAAAATCTACACTAAGGGGCGCTCTTAGTAATCATAAAACGGCTCACAATGCAGTCTAGGTCATAGGGAAAGAAACATAGGAAAATAATTCGTTAAATTCGTAAAATCTACGAGAGTTGATAAAACGATAACCAACAAGATGTTAACAAATGAACAGTTCTTTCAATATTGTATAGACCAGATACAATTGGTTATTGAAAAAAAAACGATGATTTTTTGCATCTGATTGATTAGTCAGAAACGGAATAGTCCGCGATCGTATCGATCCCGACGTTCCGATGTTTGTCCTGCCACTCCCGACCACACCCTTCACCTAAGATAATAAAAACCACCACGACCACCCCATACCACCCCCGCCCCCGATATACTAACGCTCTTGTTACAGTATATTACGCGATGACTTAACATATATCAACAGAAGACAACCCCACCTCATACAGTTTTTTAATTAAATAGAACTAGTTCATTATTTTTGTCTCATTTAAATAAACAAAAAATTACAATTAACATAAGACATTCTTATATATCACGAACCACTAACTGCATTTTAATATTTATTTGGAAGGAAAGAAAGCATTAGGCTGTCTAGCAATACATTAGATCTATCTATTTCTGTATTTAATATGTATAATAAAATGAAAACACCTACTACTTTGTTATATAGGATGTCAACAATCACAGCATATTTGCGAATCACTCCTTTTTTATTAATAAGCCCTCTATTTAGGACACACCATAGGCTATATATCTTCACATTATTTAACTTAGGAGGTGAATGAATTTTAAAAAATGAACATGCGAGTAGGGACAAAAACAACAGTTAACAGTAATTGTCAGTTAATTGCATAGGTGTTTGTTATCATTTGTGCATTTGAATTTTGACATTTGCATTTTAAAGGGGTGATGTACAATAAAGTAAAGTTTTTATAATTACATACAGATAAAGCTGCACAAAAACAGCTAGTAGTTTCATATAGCTCATATGGTGACAAGATATTCAGTACTAAGTAGGAATTAAATTTAATTCTTAGACTATATATTTAACTATTAATAGACGGCAATTCATAACATGCATATACAGGAAACTGAAGCAAACACTTGTATTGTATAATAAACCAATTAAAAACATAATTCTTATAACAGAAATATAAGATGTCTATGTATTAAAAAAGTCATTATTATGTTTATAGTTGAATTACAAGGATAAGTTGAAAACAATATTAAACAAACAAACTACACCCTTTCGAAATTTTACTAATATAATAAAGTGTAAACACCACACTTTGCTACCTACAATGTCAGCAATCATGGCATATTTTTGAATATCCATTTTTAATAAACACACTTACACTTATGATACACTTTAGGCTATATATTTTATCGCTATTAAATTAAGGGGTGAGTAAATAGGAAAAAATGCTCTGTGAGAAAAACTAATCACTAGACACTGGCCCAATCTGCTAAGGGAGTGCCATAGACAAGAAACTGAACTGAAAAACTGAGAGGAAGAGAAACTATAAGCCAATACCAGCAAAGAATCAAGGTTGCTAAAATTACTTAAATTTTCAGCCAATAGTGCAATAGCATGGGTTCCTGTTGTCATTTGTGCATTTGAATTTTGACACTTACAATTGGGAGCTTTACAAAATGTTAACAATAAATCAAAGTTTTCTAAACATCATGCAAATGAAGCCGCATAGGAACATAATTTAATAATGAATATATTAAATTACACCTCAAAAAATTATAATTAAATGTAAAGCAACAACTTGTGATCCTCGTAAGGAAACTGAGGGAATGGAAGAATGTGAAATTTGACACAGTTTATATGGAGAAATGCATAAATTTTTATAGGATTTAAAAACATTCATTCATTATTATACACTTCATAAAAATACTATTGTGTCATAATTACATTTAAGTTTATCAATCCTTTAAAAGTCTTTAAAATGAAATATGCTTCATTCCATTTAATTTTTAATATTGGCATACAAAATTGTTACTTGTTTTAATATCTTCAATTTCATATTTCTAGTTAAAAAAATGTTAGACTGAAGCTTGTTTGCTTTTATGGTTTTCATTTATCTTATAATAATCTGTTGGTCCTTGTAGGAAGTAGCTATGGAATAAATATAGTGAAAACATTTTTTTTATTCTGCATCAGCCACCTACCTTATTTTATTTGATTACCATCTTTATAGCAGTACAAAAATATGAACCTATGTGTTTAATATTCATGTCTTATCTTTAACCTATATCACTTTTTAATACACTGGGAAAAGCAGTATGTTTGTTATATTTAATTCAATATAGTAATATTTAAAAAAAATTAGTTACAGGCACTAGTGTCAATAAAAACTTGTTAAGATTAAATGATGTTTATAAATGTAAAATTAAGAATTTACTTACCATAAACACCAGTTTATCAGCTTAGAATTTGTTCGCTGTATTCTTCATAAACAATAAAAACTTTCATCACAATTGTAAATGTAAATCAGTATCTTCAAATAAATTGCACAAAACTATTTCACTTGACCATAATAGAGACGGACTAAGTATTTACAATCATAATATCATGTTTACAAAGACATCAAACTATACTACCACCGTCGGATCGGATTCTAAAAATACTTCGACACGATAAAACGGTATGAATGTGTTAAAACATAAAGCAACACAATGATGACAATGAGCAAAATGTGGATCGCGAATCCGGATTATCATGAACTGTGCCACTGCCCAAGTAGTCTATGTATAAACTTTTGCAAAATATGGGTAGATTCAAGCATCTAAAATTACGAGAATATAAGTAGAAAATGATACCAACTTTTTCATAGGCAAATTTATAATGTATATTTTAGTTTTTCTTGCAATAGAAAACATTTATTTGTCCTATCGTACTTTCAATTTAATTATAACAATCAAGTGTATATTTATATCACTAGAAAGTTTTGCACAAATTGCACCTAATCTTTCGGAACTTATTTATCACTAGCACCATTTAACAAGGACAAACATCACTTCTTGCAATAAAATATAAGACAGAAACGCAATTTCAGTGTTGCCAATGAAGAGTACAATACAGATTAAGTAATTTTAAGAAACAGTAGTAAAAATCACCATTAGTACACCTAAAGTCACCAAAAAATCCAATTAAAAGCATCCAATTTACATGTATTTGAATGAATTTCTTATTCTTAAAAAATGACATTGACACAGATAAACGTGTATGTAAAGACCTACAAGGATCCTACGGCACTTTAATGACATTGACCGGGACCGCCAGCTAGTTTTTAGAGTTACCAGGAAACAAGAAATTCCTAACTTCTTTCGTACGCCTTATTACAAACAAAACCAAACTTTATGCAAATGATTTGCAACATAAGACCTAAATGACCGTAGTAATTGATTACTATTTAAATTCTTATACATTGACAAATTGCTACAGGTTTAGGATTATTAAAGTCAAGACGAGAGACGAAAAAGCAGGAATAAAACCACATGTAAAACTGCTCATATTATATTTTTCTCTGGTATTCCGAAATTATAAAAATGGCGACATTCACCCTTCCAATTGCCAATCTCTCATTGGTCAAATTATGACGCTTTCGTGAAGACATTGTTAGTTCCCAAATATACCAACTGCTTTTTGATCCTTGTAGGTCTATAAATTCTCAGTAACAATGACACTTCTTTCTGACAATTTAAAACAGTTGACTTGACATTGACAATTAATTATTACAATATTATTTTTCTGATATAAGTATTGCGTTTAACTCTAAAGTAAAGTAATATAATTATTTTTTAACTTATTAACTCAAGTAGTCTTCTTATTTAAAAATATATAATAATTGTTATTCAAGATGGGGAAAGGTTTTAATAATTATATGTGCAAGAAATTCTTTCACCCAGCATCCAGGGACAACTTAAAAAGAGTGAGTAGTTTGAACGTATTTTTACTTAAAACTTATTAAAATTACACAAATAAACCATATTACTGGTATTAATATTATTTAAAAACAATCGCTTTGATATTTGCATAAATTGCCACCAGCAGCCATTTTTTTCGCGTATTGCGCATGATAAGAAAGAGCAGCTGTTATTAAAACATTTTGTGATTTGTTTTCTTTTTAGGTATGGATGGCAGAACAAAAAACTGAGGCTTATAAGAAGAAACAAGAAGAATTGCGTGTTCAGTATGAGAAAGAGCAGGAACTTCATGAAAATAAGTATGATCTCCCCTTTAGTTGACTAATTTATGTTAAATGTAGTTCAAATCGATGTAATTCATAATAGATTTACGGGTTTTATATTGTGACCAGCATTGTACTACGTATTAATTATATAATTTGTATTTCCATTTAATTTTTTTAGAGCATTGCTGAGTAAGGACAGTAAAGACAAACTGAGTTTAAACTTTATGTATGAGCCTCCACCGGGCGTGAAGAAAGAAAGAGAAAGGGAAGACAATGAGCCTGAATATAAATTTGAGTGGCAGCGCAAATACAATGCTCCTAGAGAGAGTTACTGCAAAGGTGACAATGAGATTCGGGACCAACCCTTTGGTATACTGGTCAGAAATGTCAGGTGTATCAAATGTCACAAGTGGGGTCACATAAACACTGGTAAGTTTTACTTAATCTAATAGCTGAAACAGGAGTAAGTGGGTTGTCCAAGAAACTAGAAAACCTACCAATATGGAAATTGTCTTATTTAGTACATTCAAATACATTTTAAGTAAAGAAATAAATTCTTTATTTCTGAAATATGTTAATTTTTATGTTTTTGGTCATATGAAGTACTTTGGCCATTAAACATTTGCAAAAATTCTTTTCCAGATAAAGAATGTTCAATGTACACTCTTTCAATGAGTGAGGCTCGAGCGCTGCAGGCTGCATCTTCCACCACTCAAGAAGAAGAGGAAGAAAAGCCTGATGTACCTACATTGATGCAGCAGATGAGAGATACTGGCTTGGTTATGAAGCCAGGAGCACTTCCTTTAGCTGCCACAAAAATAGAAGATGATCCTTCTGGTTTAACTGAAATGGATCTAATCAGTCAGTTGACTAAGAAGCAAAAGAAGAAATTGTTAAAGTATGTTTAGTGTACTTTATGTCCTTAAATTTAAGTGTATATTAAATACTTTGCTTACAATCTGACGGATAACTCTTTTAAGATGCTGTTATGTATTTAAATGTTACAGTATTTGACTATTCGCATCTTGTTAACCCAACAAGTGCCAGGTACAAAGAAATTGTTTTTAATTTAAATAAAAAAAAATAATTTGTTTCAGGAAATTGGAGAAGATGGAAAAGAAAAAGGTTAAGAAAGAGAAGAAACACAAACACAGTTCTAAGTATTAAACTGAAAGTTAAAAGAAAAGGTGAATTTAGTTGGAAACTTGATTATTTTGTATTTTAACATCTGATAAAAACCTTTCTATTTATGAAAACGTTTTATTAATGTTTCTTATATCAGTTAAGCTCATGGAAAACATTAAAAAACAAAACTGTTTATACATTTTTATTAATACAGGAATTGAAAGACATACTAATGAATATTTAAATGTGGCTTGAAGTGTTATTTTGCTATGCTACAAAGGATTTTGAAGAAAATATTAAAGATATAGGTGTAAAATTGGACATTATGGTGTCAATGATATTAAAGTTGCATTTATCAGTAATATCAATTTATAAAAATAATAAAAAACTTAACTTTTATTTAAACTTATAATTCTATATTTCTAAAAATATGTTATGCAACTTTTCCTGTATAGAAATCTAGAATGAAAAAGTTTTAATAATCAGGCTAAAAAGTTAAGTGATCGCAGAGATCATTCAGCAATTCCGTATTGTCTGATGATTGTGGTGCCGGAGGCCTAATTTAAGTCCCTTCCTCTTTACCATCCTTTTCTTATAAGGAGAAGATGGGAAGGGGAAGTGGATTTGACGGTGGAGGAGATGCATGGAAAGGGGAAATATCGTCTTTATGTGCGTCTCCTCCGCCGGATAAGGGTAGGCAACGCATCTTCAATTGCGGATGTCTATGGGCAGCGGTCAATTCGCCATTTTGGCGGATTCAGGTGGCCGCTTGCTCGTTTGCCACCTATTGTTATAAAAAAAATGTTAATAATCTATAAGCATTTATGCATCTGGTTTATGTTTAGTAAAAATAAAATATATTTGATAGTTTATTGCACTAATAAAGGTTTTATTAAATCGCATTATATTCCTGGTTCTACTGGTTTCTTTTTATTTTTCAAAAGCTTTTAGGTTTCTACAACTGGTGGTTTTTCATCCTTTGAACACAAGAAAGTAATATTGAAATAAGAGCACCGTTAAATCGTTTATAACACAATTAACATAATTTCTAGCAATCCACCATTTTAAAATTTAAAGATTCAAATTTACACCTTAGGAGCGTTATATCAGTTCCTCATTTTATTTTTTTACATACTGAGTTTTAGTTTTGTTATCCTGTTTGCAGTTCTATGTTATATATTTTTTTATTTAAATCTGTGTTAGTTAAAAATATTTTTTCTTAACAAACTTTCATTTCTTAATGTGATATGATTGCTTCCTATACTAAATTAATAAATAAATAGTTAGTAAATAAATAAATAAACACTTCTCATTTAGGAACGCGGAAGATGGTTCATCCTCGGGCTTCACGTCGCCCGGCCAGTCGATAGGCAGGCGAGGATTTAATTTGTATTCCTGTAATTACACATGAAAATTGATAAGTATTATGCGCGTTCACACCTGACCAGTGCAGTTGGTCTGTAGCGATGGATTGGATTGGCAATCAACCGGCATAGTGTGAACACTAACTGGCGCCAGCGCCAGTGAGTTCATACAATCTACATCTGGCCGGTGCAACTGTCCAACTGTAATGACCAAGTGTAAATTGGACATTAATCCTTTTTAATTAAATTAACTTGGGAATATGGGCCTGAATATAAATATAGAAATCTGCTTGACAGTTTAGATGCTATGAGGAATGATGGATGTTCTAATGAAAGCAGAAGAAGAAATGTGGTAAACTGACGGGGAACTTGCGTGAGGACTGCTGGAAGTTGCCGACGGGCAGCATGCTGTAGGAGCAGTTGATGTTGTTGTCGCTGAAATTGGTGGGCTTGAAGGCCAGCACGGAGAAGTTGCCCTCAGAGTCCGCGCGCTCGTCCAGGCGGATAGACATACCGGACACACCTGTTTATTATATTTTTAATACTTACGACGATATAAAAAAGTAACAAATACTTGAGACTACTATTAATAGCATGTCTATTACTTCTGCATGTGGCAAATTACAATATATTTTTTTTTAAGTACTTAACAAAACAACAAAATCTACCTGTGAATAAAAAAAAGAAAATGAGTAAGAAAAGATCCTAATGATTATATTAGCTAGACACATCTTAAAATTAATATTAAAAACATACTTTTATATGGCGAGGATTTGATCATTTCGGCGACAATTCGAGAACCAT